ACGTTGTTGGGGTTTTTTAGTGTTTTAAGATGGTCTTTGAGGGTGATGATGTTAAGAAAGTTGAATTAATGGGGGTTTTAACAATTTTTATCATTTACAAAAACCCTTAAAGTTAAAAAAAAAAAAAAAGGGTTTTTGGACCAAAATTCCATCTTTTTAGACCATGTTTTCTACTCTCTTTCTCTTAAGCACAAAAAAATGCACCTGATCGGCTCTATATTTAAATGCGCCTATGTGTATTTGGTTAAAATAAATCACTTTTTACTTGAAGAGTAGTTGATAAGAAAAAATAATGTTACGATTCAGGATGTGGTATCAAAAGCTTCTTCTTCTTTTTTTTTCTTAGTCGGGGATGGTGATCAATGTTTATAATTTTCTCCACACTTAATATACTAACTTGCTGCAGGACTCCAAATCGACTTGAGATTCCCCTAGTATAATCTTTGGGATTGTTTACTACGAGACTATTTTTATTTATTACAAGGAAGTCACAATCACTTATGGGAAAGGTTTATGTACTTCCCCTACATCATAGAAGATCTATGGTTCCCCTACTATCTAGCTGTCCAAAGTATTTTATTTTTAGTTTTTTTTATACAAATTGTATGAATATGAAATTTGGTATATGTCATCTTCTCACTAGGGCGCACCTATAAAAAATATTAAAAAATAAATTTTCAGTAAAATATAATAACCAAATACCCTTAAAACTTTTTAGGGGTATTTTTGGTCATTTTTATTGAAAATATACATTTTTTATATTATCCGCTAGTGCGAGTTTAATAGAGGATTGGACGTACAAAATTTGGTGTCAAAATAGTTCATAGAAAAAATAAAATAGTGTAGAGAAGTGACATTGTGATTGGGGCAATCTTAGGTCTCCATTCAAAATGGACGGCTAGATAAGGGGAAGAATATAAGTTTTATATTGTAGGGGAAGCATGGAAAGCTTACCCATTACTTATAGCCATTAGATGTCAAAGTAGATAGCTTATGTATATTATGAAGTGTGATGAAATTTTAAAACTTTGAATATAGTCAATGACACTCTTATAACCATCAATTTGAATTTTTGTAGACAATAGCGTTTGTGACCTCCTTATACCAAAAGTAAATGGTCTCACTATATACTTTTCCATAATCTTTTGGGAAATTTATAGATATCCCCTAAATACAATGGACTGCCTAACATCTTTAAAATACACTACTAACCTAATACTATGTAATATTACATCTACCTGCCAAGTAAAAGAGCAGTATTTTTAGGACGAAAATACTATATGTGTATTTGAGATAATTTATCTCTCATAAGAGCCTTATCCCAACTATGTGGAGTCGACTTGTAAACAATTAAAATTTTTAGAGAATGAGACTACATCAAATCTCAAACTTGTAAAGAGAGAAATTGTCTTAAAAATTTTAGTCTCAAATTTAAAGTTATAGATTCTAAAGAGAAAAATTATATCAATATTTTATAGAAAGAGAAACTATCTCAAATTTTACGTTTATAGAGAGAGAAACTATCTCATATATGTGGACTTATAGCCTTACTGACGGTATAATTTTGAATCCACAAAAAAGTCATTCTAGTCATTTTCTGTCAAAATAAACTATTTTCTAAATATTGGTTGATGTAACCTTTAATCTACAAAAATATATTTCTAATCATTTTCTATCAAAATAAACCATTTTCACAATATTTTAAAATATTTTCAAGGGATATTAGGATCATATAGAGTTGAATTAAGAATATGAACACTCCATTTGGCTATGCACTGAATCCAAAGCCACTTTCTCAATATATTACCTAATAGACTCATGACTCCCAACAAAATCAAACCAATGGTGCATTTCAGGTGTACCCCCTAGAGGATATACATACACAAGGTGTTGGGATTCCTCTAGTGGCACATGTGTATACCTCTTCTCATTGGATCCTTAGAAGAGTAGGTTTTTCATGCTTTGTGACTGACTATGCACTATAAGAAGGTTCCAATAGTCAGGGATTTAAGCCAGTGCCCTATGTTGGCCCTAACTTTCTCATACAAGACTAATTATTGAGTTTAAATCATCATACATATAAAATCACAGTGCCCTGGCCTAATCATCCAAAAGCCTAATTGAGCCCAATAACAATAACAATAAACTACTTAACTAGAGGCAACCCTGAAACCTCTCGGTGCCTTTGACACACACACACACACACACACTCACACATATATATATAACAATCCTCCTCATGACTATCCTTTAGTTTCCATAACTCTTGATCCGAGTGTGCT